CTAAGTGCCAGGAGGTAGGGCCATGACTATGATGGGCATGATCATGAGGCTTTAGGGTCTCTGGAACCAAAGCATGGGAGGAATGTGGAAGGGTTGGGAACTTTGGATTGGAAAAGTTGTTGAATACTAGAAGCAGAGCTTAATGACCAGTTATTGTGTGAACTACAGACAGCCTGGCTAATGAGATCGGTCTTGACAAAAGTGGGAAGAGTTTGAGCCAAAGTTTGGTCGTCAAAGATGTTATGCTCAGGAGCTAGATGGTGCAGCTGAGGTACTGGGCTCAGGATCCGGGTGATGCAGCTGAGGTGCTGTGCTCAGGATCAGGGTGATGCAGCTGAGGTGCTGTGCTCGGGGACTTGGAGATGCAGCTGAGGTGCTGTGCTCAGGGGTCTGGGTGATGCAGCTGAGGTGCTGTGCTCAGGGGTCTGGGTGATGCAGCTGAGGTATTGCACTGAGGACTTTTACTTTCTTCTCAGCAAACATGTCCTGAGATCTTTGTGAAGATAGAAAACACCCATTTCCCTGAAGGAACAGAACATCACCTGCACTGAACGTAAGTCATTACTGTTGTGGAGAGAAACGAAACTTCTGCTTTTTCTGTACTGGGAAACTGAAAACAAACGTGGTCTGTTTAATGAAGACATTATTACCTTGCATAAGCGCTGGAATTCCTCCAAAGCGAAGACATTGTCATCGCCGGCACAACAGGGAAACACCTGTGATCGGCTCACAGGCGCCTTCCCACGGACAGGAGGCCCAGGGTGAACAAAGGAGGAAAAGGAGAAAGTGAATCAAGGTTCTGTATGCATTTGTCCCTGCTTCCTACATAGACACAACCAACCCCATCATGCCCCTGCCTCCATGCCCTCCCTACCGTCTCCTATCACACCCTGAGTCAACAGGAATTCTTTCCCCTTCAGTTGATTCAGGTCAGGAACTTGACCACCACAAGGGAGCAGTAACTAATACAAGTGAGGAAGAGACACGCCCTGGTGTCAGGAGCTCGTCTGTCAGTCATTTGTTGTTTCTGAGGGCAGGCCCGGCCTCGCCTAACTCCTGTTCCAGCAGAGAGTAGAGATCGGGGGAGCGCAGCTTAAAGATACAACAAAACAACAAAAATAAAATGTAAGTGTTTGTGTGGTGTGTGTAGGTCAGAGTGAGCACTGAGGAGAAGAGGCAAGCCCTGCTCCTCTAGGGGACCAGGAACACAAGGGAATTAGGCTCTTCCTGTGGGGCCTAATTCATAGTTTGGGGTTTATTATATGTGGCATATGTGAATTTTTTGCCTGACCCCCACAAAAAAATATAGCGATCATTAACTTCTGATATCTAAGGTTGTACAAGCCGAGACTAAAAGTTCCAAAGAGGAGCAAAGTGCATCATAAACTCCGTTTTGGAGTAGATTGACCACTGGAGTTCTTTCTTTACTTCCTTGGCGTCCCTTAGAAGATCTGCATGACTTCAGTCCCGCACACACATGTAATCTTGTCATGCACACATTTTGCATGTTGCCTTTTTATTCCCTGGTGTGTCTTAGACATCTTTCCAGACCAGTGTGTGTGTGTGTGTGTGTGTGTGTGTGTGTGTGTGTGTCCATGTGTCTCTGTCTGTGAGCCAGGGTATGTGTCCCATGACTGGGGTGTGGAGATCAGAGGACACGGTCTCCTGTCTCCCCACTGTGCACACTTGGAGAGCCACTCTTGAACATCTAGAGATTGCCCCATTTTCTTCCATCTTGTAGGAGTGCTAGAATTACAGGTAAACATTACCCTGTGCTCCGGTGTATAGGTTGTGAGGGTCTGAACTGGGATCTCCAGGCTTCAGTGGCAAGTGCTCTACCCATAACTGGTCTCCACAGCCTAGACTCTCTTTGGGACTTTCTGCTTTACATAATCATTTGTCTTAAGCTGTAGGACATTCACAAGTACTGGCTAAGGACCTCCAAAGACAGGTGCCTGAAACCAGGTCTGACAAGGGCGGCTGATTATAGATCACCTCAGGACTTTTCCCCACACTCCCGTCACCATTTTCCTCCTCTGTGTTCTAGCAAAGCTGTTGCATGGCTGTTGCGCCTTCGGAGCAGAAAGACCACAGCCTTCAGGGACTGAGATCCACTCCTTCAGGGACTGAGATCTACTCACAAATGCCAAGGTGGGTGAGAAGCTCTTCTGCAGACTGCTGAAGGTCGGTGTGGGTTGTGGCTGACCTCATGAGGCCCTGTTTGCTCTTTTCTCCTTGGGAGTCTCATGCTGAAACCAATTCAAATCATTGTGACAAAAGCCAAAGGCCACCAACATTGTTCCTGAGCCAGGGATCTGACCCCTGAGTACCTGTGCATTCCAAACATGCTCCATGCACTCTGGTGGGGACAGCATTCCAGCAGGACTGTGTTGCTTTGCTGGGCTGTGCAGTCTGTTTACTAAATTGCAAACGTCATAGTCTCCAGGAAATCTGTCATTGAATTGTCACATGGAGAGTTCAGCAGTGATCAAAGCATAGATAGCATCGTGATGCTTCCTCTCGGGGTCAGCGGGGCCTGACTTGGAGTCACCTGGGAGATACACCCCTGATTGCGTCCATGAGAGCACTTAAGAGATGGTTACTTGAAGGGAGGAGATCCAACCTGAATGTAGGGAACACTACCTGTGGACTGGGTCTCAGACAAAATAAGTTTTGTTTTTAAAGGAGAAAAACCAAGAAACACAAGTATGTGTGCATCTCTGTTTCCCGACTGTGGACATGCATGGTGGCACTGACCAACTGCTGTGCCGTCTGTGCTAGGATGGGCTGTGTCCTCTCCCACCATGAGCTGGAATAAACCCTTCCTTGTTTAAGCTGCTTTTGTCGAAGCACTGGGAAGGTGTGACTGATAGGAACACAGTAATTGTGCACAGAATGGGCACATCTGAAAGGGCCATTCCTATTAAGAGAGAGAACTTTTGCTGTACTTCAAGTCTCTGTGTACCTTCTCTCAGGCCCAACACTTACTTCTACTCAAAAGGCAACTGTGGTCCAGGCATGGTGGTGCACACCTTTAATCCTATCACACAGGAGGTAGAAGCAGGTGGCTCTCTGTAAATTTGAGGCCTTCCTGGTCCATATTGTTAGTTCTGGATCATCCAGAGCTGCATAATAAGATGTTGTCTTAAAAACAAATACAACCCCCCCCCAAAAAAGCCCCAGAGATAAGCTTGGCTTGCTTCTTCAAGTCATGCTCCAGCTAAATCTAATTTTATTGACTCACTCATAGTTCATCATCTTTCCATCTAGTTCCTTCCACTCTGTGCTTTATTTATTTATTTTTTTTTGTATTTACCCATCTTTTTGCAGCTTGCTCATCCCTTTAGTTACAAAGGCTCCACTGCCTATGCAGTGCAATTCACTAATCATTCTATTATAACCAAGAATAGGTATTTTGGAATATCTTGCTATTTCCCTAAAGATGCTCTTCCATACTGTTTATCTGAAGACGCATGGATTCGTGGTGGATATGGGAGATGGCTTAATGGACTCCTTGGCTGATAAGGGTCACATATGTCCATCTCACTGTACATTCTACAATTCTCATTGTGTTTGGCCTTAGGGTTGATGAAGGGTCCTGGCCGTTTCACATCCTCCCTCCTGTTTGGTAGTGTCGTTGTTTAACTTTCCGTTTCTTTTGGTTGTGTATTAATTTCCTGCTTCCAGATGCCTGCTGCTGTTAAGCACATTTTGAAATGCCTGTTTGGCAGTTGGGTAATATCTTTGGTGGTGTGTCTGTTCAAAAATGCTTGCCAGTTTTACTGTAGTGATTTATTGGCTTGTTGAACCTTTTTCACTTCAAGTTAACTAATTACTATTTATGAATGCATGTGTGTTTACGGAGGTGGGAGGGTGAATTTCAGCTTTGGTTTCCTCCTTCCTTCCGCTGTGGGGTCCTGGGACTGACCTAGGGTCACTAGGCTTGCAACCACACAGTGGTCATCCCTGCTGAGCCAGCATGCTGGTTAGCATTCTGCATTTCATGGTTCCTTGTGTGGGAAATGTCTTCCTTTGATTTTTTTTCTTTTCTGCCATCATGATGAGCCTTGTATTTTGTCACGACAGTAAGAAAAATTTACTAAGCTAAACACAACAGTTTGTCCCAGAGAGGACCCACCTGCAAGGATCCCTCTGGCATGTGGGGGTTTAAAATAAAGGGAATAGGGTGTAAAAGGTGAGAGTGGCTCTAGTTTCTTGAAGTTTTATCTCCCCCAATCTGTCTGTCTGTCTGCCTGTCTGTCTGTCTTTCTGTCTGTGTGCATGTGAGTGTGCACATCTGTGTTCATGTGTGCACTTGCTGTACTGTAGCAGTAAAGGCGTCTTTCCTTGGTGATCCAATGAATAGACACATCTCTCAGTGACACTTTCCACAGGGGTTGGGGCTGGGGAAGTGCCCAGGAGAGGTGCTTGTCAATCAATGCAGTTTGATGGCTACAGCTAAGTCTTCCTAAATTTCCCTCCCAGACCCGGAGCTGGGAACAAGCCATTCTGTGTGGACCACTGCTACAGAAGTCAGCATCTTTTGGGTAAACTGGACTGTGGATACCTTGTACTTCTGCCGAGGGGGTGTAGTTACGACAGTGGCCAGAGTCAGGACCCTGCCGTCTCAGAGAGACAGTCCAGAAGAGTGGATTTAGCTCTGAGGCCTGTACTGCTGGCTAAGTATTATCAAGCGGTGGTACCCCACACACTAGTGGCCGCAGCAGGGGCTCGGGGGCAACCTTCCCTAGCCAGTGTCACAGCTACCCTTCTGAGCTCTTCAGTTTGGATTGCAGGGCTCCCAGACATTTTCTTGCATGTTAGGCTGGAGTCTTTTCTCCAGTGGCTCAGCTCCATGCAGCCCTGCTGCGGAGTGGGTTGTCTTGGGTCAAAAATATCCATATCTTGGTTGAGTTTTAATGTGAACTCGCCTCCAGCGAGCTCACGTTGGGAAAGTACACAGTGACTATGACACGCCAAAGAGTGACTAGCAAGGCATCTTAGGTCATGCACAGAACATTTTAATACAACAAGCATGTTACCGCACACAGTGAAATCCTACAGGGGAATACATATACATATACATCCCCCCCAACACTAAACCTTATCTGGACACACTCAGATGATATGTGATCACCTGAATCATTGATTTTTGTCTTAAAAAGAGCTTATTAAACAAGATCAGTTCATCAAGAGGGTAGGACACGAGCTGAATTATTGCTGGAATGAACCAACTGCTCCTGGGTTTGATGGTTTGGCTGTTTATCTATGCAACAATTAGACCCGCAAATCCAATGCAATTCAAACCTGAGCCCATTTCTTCCCCACATAGTTTAGCCAGTTAACATCCTACAGTTTCGAGCATAAAAATGAACAGCCCACGATTTTATCATTGAACACTATATAACAGACACCAGGGGCTTTAAAATCAGTGTGGGGTGTCCTGCCCTCCAAAGTTCTTCAGTAAATCGCCTTCCCCAGCATCACCACCCTGAGTCAAACGGTCATCGGACAGCACTATCTGCAACACTTAGCAAATGTCAACTAGATAGCGCTTCAGGTTCCCGGTGAAGAGCATGTGTTTCACAAATGAACACCCAGATTTAAAACTGAGAGAGGAAACCAATGCATGATATAATCCGAGCTTGATTTTTACTGTGATGATAAAATATCACAATTATTCCCTTGAGGAAGGGATATTTTTGAGTATTTTAAGCCTAGATATCTGACTCACCCTGTGCATGTACAGGGGGTCAGGAGTAGGAGGGACAGCTTGGGGTGCATTTCGGATGGCTCACGTCCCAAGTGTATGCTACTCTTGTGCTTTCTTAGGGGAAGGAGACATACAGGTTCACTCAGCTAGAAGAAAATGAACTCCAAGTCAGAAGATGGGGCTTCAGCTCCAATTTGCTTCCTGTCACATAATCAAGCGGGCATCTGCCCCTGTCCTTTGGGCTTTCCAAGGTAAACTGAGTACACAAAACTTAACTAAAAAAATTATCAAAATCTGCAGGAAAAATGTGACTCAGTTTTCTCTTTAAAATATCTATATAGGAGTTGAGTGATATACAAATGTAATCCCTAGAATGGGGGAAGTTAGGGCAGAGAGCATGGTGTCCAGGACAGCCTGGGCTACATAGTTATACCCAACTTCAAGAAAAAAAAAAGGCAGCCACCAAGTACACAAACAAACAAAACAGGAAATACAGAGCTCCTGACCTATTTTGGGTGAGACAAAGTGTCTTTGTTGAATTATGGTGACTTAACCGAAGTATAGACATCTTTTGTGAGAAAATATTTACAAATACAGTTTCTTATCAAATTCTTAGTACTTATCCAAACACAAACACATACACACAATGAAGGAACAGAAGCAAAATTCACCAAGTTCTAAAAGTACACTTTGAAGCAAAATTTCTGAGATGCCTAAAGAAGTCCGACGTCTCGGCGCCCTCTAGCAGCAGCAGCAGAGTTTCAGGGACCTTAAAATTTATCAGCAACAGAAAACTTTCAACAATTTTTGCTTTTTGATAGGAAATTGTTATTTTGCAAACGGCGAGACAAAGTTCTGGTCTGGCAAGTGTCACGGAATGCTTCCACAGGAAGAGTATTTGCCTCAGTCTCATCGTCTTTTCTGTCTTTTTGGTGCGGAGAGGCATATGGTTCATCTCACGTTGACCTAGACTGGGTCTCATTCAGGCTTCCTTGGGAAATTTTCCATGGAGTCACAGGCGCTTTTATACCAAACCAACCACACTCCGTAGTCCCGACAGAGTCCTTCCTGCCCTTGCTTCCACGACTTTTACGGAATGTGCCAACACAGCCGTAGCTGCTTTTCCAGAGTGAGGGGATGACCTTCTACTCAAACTTCTGTTTGACAGACTCAGGCTGTCTCAGTACTGGGAGGCTGCACAAGCATCTCCCTCATGCCCACGTCGTAAAAGGGAAAGTGTATCTTGGTTTTGAAAAGAATCCTGGAGGAGTTGGCACAGCAGAGAGCGGTCATCCTTCATGCAGCAACACGGGCGCTGGGGCCGGGAGCCACATCTCCATGAGCTCATGGCAAATGAGTTAGAGTCCCCTTTACAGCTCTTTGGGACTTGTCTTGATTCTTCCTATACTTCCGAGTAAAACGTCCAACATTCCAAAGCAGAAAAGCATTTAAATAGTCATGGGAGGACATATTTTATGATGTTTCCTGGTGAATAACACTGGCATATTTAGCAGAAAATAACTCACCTTCTTAAGTGAGGAGGAGGAGAAAGGAAACAAGGGATTCACAGTAAAATTCCACAAAAATTCAAACACAAGTTAAATACATTAGTCTTTGGGGCCACTGCACCTCGCTCTTCTGTGAAGTGAACTCTATCCCTCCACACAGGTGGATTATCTGACATTGCATGGTTTTACCCCTTACTTAGTTCACTCAAACTCAAACAAACAGACAGGCAGACTGCTTTCCCACAGACAGCCAGAAGATGTGCAACCGAGAGTCGGATTTGCATCCCTGAATAGAGAGTAAGAACCTCGGGTGGTGAAAGACAGCTTCACGTGGAGCTCCCCGTAGCTGGTCAGGGTGTCCTTCTAGCCTTGGGTTCACCAGTCCAGCTTCAGGTCAGCCTTGCTCCATACATACTTGCCTCCACGCTTCAGGAACATCTTCTCATCAAATCCACTGAATTTTATCGCTTCTTCCACCCCGACATCCAGGATGGACCTGGAAGGGTCCTTCCGGCCACCAGTACAGTTCAGGAAGCGCATCTGGGAAATACAAGGTAGAAATAAGTACGTTGCCGTATGGTTTATCCTGTGAGACTCAACTAAAACTATCCTTTCAAAGTCCACATCCCAATCGTGTCACATGGGCATTGAGATCTGAGATAGGCACTAAAATCCTCAGACTCCACCCCCAACACAGACAGCGCCCACTCGTGGAGAAGGTGTCTACCAGGAGTAATGAACAGTATAGTTTAACCATGTGGGGAGTCGGCCCTCTCTGGAGTGGAGAGAACACCTGGATTTGTTTAGATATCATGCCCTGAGGTGAAGGAGAGCATAGAGTACAGCAAGGTGAGCTCTGTGTTGTAAGGAAGCTGAGCTGAATGTACTTAGTGAGGCGGCAGCTGTGCTTGTGTGGTGTGAGTCCTGACAGAGGCTTCTACCGAGGGGATAAGACAGAGGCTACCGTGGTGGGAAAGAGCCGGGTCCAGGACAGAAGGTCCCCAACACATCCTATCCAACATCCTATCCATTTGTCTTTCTCTGACTCTTTCCTCTCCACCCTTGCAGGCAGGAATGAGGACTTCAAGCTTGCGTGTGTCTGCACCAAACACCCTGGAGGGCATCGGATGGCACACACGGAATCACTAAGTTAGTTGTGCAGTTGTCTAAAGTAAACACTGGATTGTCAGTGTTTGTTACAACTCTGTGGGGATCTGTCAGACAGCTTATTGGGGAATATCCCTAAAATTTCCAGCCAATCATGACAATTTATCCTCCAAAATAACATCCTTTCTTCTTTTTTAACCTTAGACCTATAAACTGAACATTCTTATGGTTACATTCCCTCTTAGGTTGTATAAAATTCAAGTTGGTAATAAATAAAAAATTGATGAACTGTCATTGATTAACTTGAAAATGACAAAACACAGAAGCTGTAAAAAAATATTTCTCAAAATGCCAAGGTCAATACTGAGCCCTTTGTAATTTATGTAGCTCATGTTAAAAACACAACTTGGCATGGAGTCATCTGTCCTCTGCTGGGAATATCAGCAGAAGCCATAAATCCAAAGATCTAAATAACAACAACAAAGAAAAGGAAAACAAGCGTGGTTTCTTTCTTATTTTAATAAGGGCGGGTTTTCCTTTGGAAGCAATGGCCTCAGAGATAGGGTTGGTGGTGTCTGAAGGGGACAAAAGATTTCCTCCCATTGTCAAAGTTCATCTGTGATAGAGGTGCTGGCAGCCCCGCTGTTATTCAAGACAGCGTGGAGTGCAGGGGACAGGGTGCTGCCACAGTGCAACCCTGGAGCCCATGCTAGACCACACGCTGGAGGGATCTACTGAGAGTGATGTCCTTATGACATCTGCAGATGTATGGCTACCTGGGATGTCATCACATGGTGGCTCACTCCAATCCAGGTCCAGGATAATGTCCTGAGAGAGAGCTTGGCATGTGAAGCCAGGGCTGTACCATGCTGACAATAAAACCACCAGCACAGCACTGGACATAATAGATATATTCTGAACGTGTTCATTTGGGCACACCTCTGGCATTTCTGAGCTGCCTGCTTTCCTGTGAATTTATAGCTCGTGGGGGAATACTCACATATTCATCCAGAATAAGGTAGGAGTCTTTCATCTGCAGAAGAAAAGAGTCAAACTTTAGTTTTAACCCAACATAGATTGTTTACCTTTTATGTCCTATTGGCTGTCCTTCCTTTGGTCTTTGGTGCGTGCATGCGTGTGTGTGTGTGTGTGTGTGTGTGTGTGTGTGTGTGTGTTGAGTTTTCCACTTCCCCTACTCCCCATCTGTTTGCAGGCCTTTGGAGCTGCCCTCAGCAGTGGAGGGTCTGCAGGGGCCCGTCCTTCCAGTCATTCTGGATTTTTCTGACTCAGACCTAAAGAATTTTACCCTGCAGGCTGCTTTGAGCAGCCCAGCTTTCTCCACCCCTCCAGCCATTTCCAGGATCACTGCTGTCTTCATCTTTCAGTTCCTCCCACAGTGGCTACCGTTCAAGGAATCACCACAGCTTTTAATGTTCAAGTTATGCTCTTGGCAGAGGACAGCGTTTCTGAAGTTCCTAATGTCGCTGGGATCGGATGTGGGACAGTTTTGTGGCTTTGGGTGTACTGGACATTACTGTTAGTTCCTGTAGGGAGGTTCTGACACTCTTTTCTCTCTCCAATAAGAGCTAGGCAGTAAATATTATTATTTCTCTGTTTCCTTCCATTTCTCTCCTTCCTTTCTCATTTTCCTTCCTTTCCTCTTCCCCTCTTCCTTTTCTCCTCCTCCTCCACCGCCTGCCTTTTTGACAGGGCATCAGGTAGTCAGTATAGGTTGACCTCAAACTCACTACATGGCCAAGGGTGTACTTGAGTTTTGGGTTCTCCTGGTGCCACTTCTTGAATGTGGGATTATACACTTGCAGTGAGTGTTTTGAGCTATGCTCAGGGCTTGAACCCAGAGCTTCCAGCATGCTAGGTAGGCATTCTCCTAAGTCAGACACATTTCTAGACAAGTTAATATTCCGTGCACACAGAACATGGTATGTGTCCCAGTTATTCAGCTCTGCACCACAGTGTTGAAAGCCACCTCCACCATCACCATCAAAACAAAACAAATTTTGGCACAAATAAATTCATAAAAGAACGGAGTGCAACTCTGCTCCTTGGTAAGTTTAGTTATAAACCCTCAAAATTGGAAAGTCATTTCTTTTACATTTTATCCAACTTTTAAAACAATCACTAGAGAGGGTGTAAGGGACAGTCGTAATGATACTGACACCAACGTGGAGGCATTCACACCTTCCTTCAGTGTGTGAGTCCTATCCATGTGCTTCCCAAACATGTAGCGATCCTGTGTGTGTATTTTATATTAGAGTTATAAATATATGTATCCATTTAATTACATCATCTGTGAGGTGGCCTAGTCAAACTCATTAAAAATCAGTATCATTGAAGAACTCCGGTCCCAGATGAGAGGTGGCCATAGTGGCCCTCCTTCTCTTTGACTCTAGGATTGATGGCACTACTCTCCTTTCTCCTTCCAGAATGTCTAGAATAACAAAATGGCAAGTTGCAAAGCTCTCAGGAGTGTAGCTGTGTGGTAGTAAACATGGTAGCTTTTGCTGCATACAAACCTTCTGGTTAGATTCAGGCACCAAACACGACACCTCTTGGTGACGCTCTAAGAATGCTTCAAATTCTTCATTGCTTATAAGAAATTGTTCTGCTTCCCTCAGGGCAGCTTCTCCCGAGTTCTCACCCTCAATTAGAAGGCACTGGAAGACCTGGGAGAGGAAAAAGCATCTGTTAGACCAAGAACCTCACACTACCATTCCCTCCAAGTCTGCAGGGAGCAGACCCTACCCAGTTTAGGACTAGAAAGCTCAGAATACAATGGTGAGTCACTGCTAAGTCTGTGAGTACTTAGACTGTGAGGCTCTGAACCATGAGGGATGGAGCTAATGAAGTTCAGACACTTTCCCTTGGAGCATTGCTTATTTCAGTCAAGATCCCACAGATTTCAGAGGTTTTGAAGAAGAAGCAAGAACTGACCCTTAACACTGAGAGCCAGTGTCTTGAAATGATGAATCAGGAAGTTGGAGTAGAAGGGAGAAGAATGTAAGGAAAGGCCATGAGAAAAAAAAATCAAGGCAAGGAAGGAGGATGTACAGATTTTAAGAGGAAGAGGGTGAAGGGAGAATAGTGAGGGGCAGTAAGTGTCAATGTAGCACTGAGATAAAAGAGAGAGAGAAGATGGGCGGCCTGGCAGGTGACTGGAGGGACAGGTCTTTGGTCGGTGCACCCCTCTTTCCGAGGTCTCTGTCTCTCTTTGTCCTGACTCCACCATTCAACTTTCTTTAGCTGTTTTCCATTTATTCTGGGCCTGAGGATATCACTGACATTCAATTTCAATACACTCATTGCTTTTAAAAAATCATGAACGTATATAGCATTTCCAGCTTCCTTCTAATCTATTTCTAAATATTGCAGTACAATCAATGGAAAAAAAATGTCTTATCCTTATTCCCCATTGACTTGGCTCAGTTGGCATCTAAAGAAGATCCAAGGTTACCCCGGAATGACCGCTTTTCTTGGGTGAGCATAACTCTGGCCTAGCATAGGCCTTCTCGCTCGGGCCAGCCCTCCATGTGGAAATTCTTTCCTGCTTTCGAAACACAGTCAAATGTAACTTCCTCCACGATGTTCTGCCATTCAGCTTGGTGTGCCCCACCTTGCCAAGTCCTCCGCATGGAACCTGCGCCCTCCGTGTTCTAGTCCTTCCCAAAACTCAATTCCCAAATCTTATCCTTCAATTTGTCTACCCTGCCTCCAGACACAGATCCAAAGGAATTACAACGGGGATCACCACGAGGCTTGTTAAAAATACAAGCACACCCCAGCCCTCCCGAGCAGACCCACCCTTATTGGACATCAGTGGATGCATGAAGGGGTCCAAGAAGCTGCTTTCTAAGCATCCCCCTTGGTGGGCTCTGAGCAGAATTTCCCCTGTTTATGGTGGGTCCTGCCTCTAATAGGCAGGCTTGTATCTTTGTGAATCTGGGACTTCCAGTGACTGCTCTCTGGGACAGTCCTAAGGAGTGCATTTTGGAATAAAGACTGCCATTGCTCTATAGACTTCCCCTGTGACCAATTAATTCAATGCAAACTCGAGCATCGGGATTTATGAAGATCATTTAGCCCCGTGAATATGCAAACCAGGAGTCAAAATTTACTTGAGGCCCAGCATGGCCTCGACCTTTACACTCAGAATAATCCTGAAAAAAATCATTTCGAGATTTTGGAAACAGACAGGAAACAAAGAACAGCGAGAATGTAAACTTAACAGAGGCCAGAATTAAGGTCCCCGCTAGAAAGTTCCAGACTCCCCTGGGTCCCTAACTTCAGTGTCACCTAGGGAAGCCTCCCTTGCATGTTTTGTGGATGAAAGTTAAGCAAGCGGCAGTGTGGATTTACCTTCCAGCGGACAGGGTTCAGGGCCTTGATGTGTTCGTTCATGTCTTCATCCACATTGAAGCGATTGATGACGGAGTTGATCTTGAAAGCCACCTTGTAGTCTCGGCACCACTTCCTCAGCTTTTGAAGGTTTTCCACGTGGTTCTTTTTCCCCTGACCCCGGCCAATGAGAACATTGACGTCCTCATTGAAGCTGTCACAGGAGATGGCAAGAATGTCCAGATAGTCACCTGCAGGAAAAGGATGGTGATGATGTGATGATGATGATGATGATGATGATGATGATGATGATAATGATAATAATAATAATAATAATAATAATAATAATAGATTGCTCCCCGAGCCCTCGACTCCATCTGCATCTCTTTATAGTAAAATGTACCATCTTCCCAGCTGTGTTTTAAAGACTTTCCTGATTCTCTGTTCTCTGACCTGGACACAGGAAAGTCAGAGAGATGTGAATTACGCAGGGTATGTATGCGATCAATAAAATACATACCTGCATAATGAAGTCACAGAGCTACTTAATGTGATCGGTTTTATACTCTGCATCCACGCAGGTGCCTGAGTCATCATTGGCGCCGTTCAATAAGATTTTTCTCTTGTGTTGTCATAGAGATGCACAAATCATGAAGCCTGTTTCTGTTAATTATGAAGGATTGTAGGCTTGCTTTGCCCGGCACACATTTGTGTCTTAGCTGTCTAGTTATTTCTCCAGGCTCAGGAGCTTCCTCCTGCTGTGCCTCACACGTTTATTTACTAGGGAACTATTTGCAGACACTCTGTGCTGCGTCGGGTGCGAGTGATAGAGAGGCCGAGACAATCCAGATAAAGGGAGCTGGGTGCAGGAGCCACAGAAAAAACAGGCCCCACCCTGCAAGGCCATGAGTGAAGAGTCCTGACAGGGAGTCGTGGGGAGAGCTATAAAATATTGACATTGAGTTTGGTATTGGGCTTCTCTTCACCGATTTCTGGAGCTCCAGTGTCTGCTCTATGTTTCTTGTGACAGCCATCTTCCTTCCCTGTTCCCTGCCTTCCGATGCCTGAGAAGCGTAGGCATCCCCGGGCCTGAGGCAATCCTTGCAGCTGACCAAGCTTGAGCTCTCTTGGCTGTTGAGAATTTCCAAATGTCTCCATTTTACCTTAAAATTCTTTTCCCATTATAGAAGGGAAGAGTTCCAAAATTTCTTTCGGATACTCTTCTCTATAATCGTGAGAAGACTAAGTTTAGCTCTTATTTTAGGTTTAATCCACGCTGCCTGTATCTAACAAGCATACACCGGAGCCAGAATAAATATCCTGTTATTTAAATCAACTCAAAGTGTTCCACAACTTGACCTCAAGTGAATTCCTAAGGGATGCCCCACCAGGATGAAGTAACTGAACATGTAGTCTCTAGCAAAACCAAGGGGACGTAGAAGCTCAAAACCAAACACATAAAAACCAGTCTCTCCCAGGAGCACCTTGGCTGGCTGATTGACGAAAGCACAGGGCATCTGTCAATCCATCCCTGCATCCTCACACCGCACTCTATCTTTAGCTGTGTTTCTCTGATGTCCCCCCATCTTTAGCTGTGTTTCTCTGATGTCCCCTCCTCCTGGCCACAGCTCTTGGGAGGACTCATTCGACAGGGCAGGTCTGTTGGCTCAGGTCTTGTGTTTTTCCAGAAGATCTGAGGCTCTGATGGGGTACTGTGCAGCCCCTGCCTATATGGTTGCTATGCCAGCATGTATAACAACGGTGGGTGATGTGTGTGAGCTCCAGCCATGCGAGCATGTGTCAGGATTGTGTAGACACATATATGATATGCTTACATGTATTGTTGGAGTCCTGGAGGACTCCATGTACTTAGCAATACATGCTTGAGTGACCAGCCCTCTGTGACACAATCTGATCCAATATGGAAGTGTCCTGTGTGAAGACAACCCCAACATTGTCGAGGTTCACTGTTAGGAAGAAAAGAAAACCTGTGCAGGCTCAGTTAGAGACGGGCTCAGACACAGATGTCCTCTCTGGACTCAGTGATACACACCTGTGGCCTGCTGCTATCTCGCTCTGTTTTCTCTCTCCCTGAAAGAGTCTTGGCAGTCTGCCAACAAACTCCCAAACTTGGAGGTGTTGTGTGTTTCTGATAGCTTCTCCTCATGCCCGAGGACACAGGTCCAACTTCGAGTTATTTGCAGACGTTTATAGTTGGGATAGTTTTACAGAGAATATCGCCTTATGCATCGGGGATAATTTGAGGGTAGGCACTTTTCCATCTAGTCTAAAAGCCAATTAGTGGTGCGGGAGAATTATCTGTATTCTGTCAATCATATTTTAATAAAACGCTGATTGGCCAGGCAGGCAGTATAGGCAGGAAAGCCAGACAGGAAGTAGGGGTGGAGCAAAGAGACTGGGAGTATTCTGGAAGCAGAAGCTCTCTCTCAGCCTCTCCTGCGCAGATCACTGAAGAAGCAACATGTAAGCTGCCCCTGCTGGAAAAGGTACTGAGCCATTATGGCTAACATAGATGAGAATAATGGGTTAATATAAGTTATAAGAGTTAACAAGAAGCCTGACCTAATGAGCCAATCAGTTTATAACCTTATGGAGTCCTGTGTGTGATTTTCTTTGTTGCTTGCCGGCTGTTGGGGTACTGGGCTGGACAGAAACCCCAACAAGCCGGCCCTCATCTTACAAATTAGCATTCGCAATTGCCATCTACCTGACTACCAGGAAGAGAGCCTTGTCGTTGACTTTTGTGGTCTGTGTGTTCCCCTCTCTCTAGGCGATGATGCTGAGACACATGACCCTTTCTGGGTGGTCTCTGACACTGTACTGAAGCTTACATCCTGTCCACACTCCTTGACCCGGGCAGATATTTCGAGTCTTTCATAAAGAGCGAGTACTGCCCAGGTACACCCTTCAAGACATGGCCCACTGCTCCCTATTCACGCTGCCTCTGCTGTCTTCCTTCTGTCCCCCTTTGTGCCCCCCAGTGTCTCCGTCCAGTGCCTCCCGTCACAGACTTGACACACCACCCCAGCTTCCTCCTTGACTTGCTGTCCCTGTTTCTAAGAATCTTCCTTGCCTGCCCAAACGTCATAGACAGCCTTCACCCACAAGCCCAGCCTCTGCCTGCAGGTGGATGCATCTGGAAGAGTGTCTGGTCAGTGTCTCCAACCAAAAGTGCTGGCCTTCCCTTTGAATGACTCCAGAGATTCACAGCACCACAAAGCAAGGGTGGAGTAAAGGACTCAGAGGGGGAGGTTTTAACTGTCTTCTAAACTGAAAGTAATCATAACGAGCCAGCTCATGTCATGGGTTGCGTCAAAGACACTACAAGCACGGGCAGCTCAATCACTGCAGTTCTCAGAACTATTAAGAGCACCAAAAATCAGTCAGTCCATGTGCTATGAGCTTCTAATATGACTAGACTTGCAATCAGCTTAGTCCTAACAGAGATTCAAAAAAATAAAATAAAATAAGGTCTCACTAGACATCCCTGACTGAGCTAGAACTCCCTATATTGGTCAGGTTGGCCTCAAACTCATCAAGATCCATCTCTGCCTCCCAAGTGCCAGGATTAAAGGTATCCACTGCCATGCCCTGTCTTTAACAGAGACATTTATAAAGCTCTAGAGCTTGTTGGTTTCCCTCAGTAATGGCTAAACGTAGACCCCAGTTATTCACGAGTGCTAAATCAGTAGGTGTAGCAACGATCTGCGTGCTGACTTGTTCTCTCATCTGTCTCCCATACCTGTTTATTAGTACCCAACAGAAACAAAATAATCTAACGCCACACACAACTCAGAAGATATTATAAGACACCAGATTAAATTAGATTTTCTTTCCTCCCAGTTCCCCAGATGCTCTGGCCTGGATCCCAGAAAGGGAGAAGACGCAGGAGTCAGCATACGAGTTGCAGGTTGCAGTGACCAAGACATTGCCCATGGGAACTTACCATAGTCCCTGAACCACTTCTCGCGGATGAGGCTGCCATTGCTCACGATGCTCACAGAGGGCAGGGCCAGCTCCTCCTTGCAGAATCTCACGAGCTTACCCACGTATTCACCCCTGTCCTGCAGGAAGGGTTCTCCTCCTGAAAAGTTGATCTTCTCCATACCTGTAAGGGGCAAAAACTATAGGTTTTGCATTTTCCAAATACTCATTTCATTATTTTGGTTTATGAAGCTGAAGAGAGAACTCGTTTGTTGCTCTTTCAGAGAACCAGAGTTCAGTTCCCAGCACCCACCTTGGACAGTTTACGGTTCCCTCAGGGGATTACTACGCTTCTGGGGAACCAACCAACACAGGCACTCATGAACACACACACACACACACACACACACACTAAATCTTATTATTATTTTGATTTTTTTAGTGTGTATTCGTATATATTCACACGGAGGATGGGATGGGGACAGATCCCAGGGTCTTGTGTACACTAGACAAGCACTTTGTGCTGATGAGATACACTCAGAGCCCCATCCATTTTTCATAACACTCTCAGGAACCGTGGGTTCTGTTCATGGTCTAAAGTAGGAAGGAAATGACTGTAGTATTTCGTTCCTCTGCTTTTTCTATTTGGAAACAGGTACACTTGATGACTGGAAACCAATTTCACATTGCAGCAGACTCTCGGAAGTCCAAGGGCACCGTGAGTCCATCGGGAGATGCTCAGAACAAAAAGTCAACCCCAGATGCATCTGGGAGAAGATGTGGGTGACCATGAACTCATCACAGCTGTGCTGCCGGGGCTCAGAGTCCAGTTCTGTCAATCAGCTAAGGCGTAGGTGAGTGGGCAGGTGACTCCTAAAGCTTTCAGTGAGGAAAGCAGAGACGGTGGGCCACGTTACCGAGTTCCTGGTGCCAAAAGGCTGAACCTTAATCTAGGTCCCAGTGAGGTAACAAGGCTTAGTCTCTCCTGTGGGTAATGAGCCAGTTCAGACTGAAGCCAACTGAATTAGGTTCCACCATGCAGGGCTGTGTATTGTATGCTTTCATTATCACACACATAAAATCAGATGAGTCTAAAGTGAGCATTGGGACTCCCCCTGGGGTCAGTGTGGTGGCTGGAGGCCGGCTTGCCCCTGGAGCACTGGCTAATCATTCTCTATTTCCCAGCTGTGGTCCAGGGAGACCTCTTTGCAGAGTCATCTGGAAGTGCAGTTAGCATGCTTGGTGCCTAGACCTGTCGACTGTGCTTCGGTTAAAGAGAAGAGAAGGCAATTTCTAGGTGAGTAGGTATTCTGGAAAGAGAGAAAAAGAGGGAGGGAGGGAGGGAGGGAGGGAGGGAGGGAGAGAGGAGGAAACTAGGAAGGGAGAGAAAGAGGAAGCTAGGAAGGGAGGAAGAGAGGATGGGAGGGAGGGAGAGAGGGAGAGAGGGAGAGAGGGAGGGAGGGAGGGAAGGAGAGAGGGAGAGAAGGAGGGAGGGAGTAAGGGAGGGAAGAAGCAAGGGAGGGAGGGCAGGTTAGGAAGAAGATGCTGCAGTTTCACTGTTAAATTCATACCCAAGAATGGGACAGCAAATCTTAGGAGAAAAATCCCATGACGTGCCTGTCAAAATCACATTAAGGTTTACAGAGGGCTAGAGAGGTGACTCGGTGTTATGACCCACTTGATGCACAAATCTGAGAACTTCTGTTTGGATCCCTGATACCCTCGGAAACCTGAACACTGCAGTGAGCATTTGTGATGCCAGCCTTTCTGCTTCAGGATGGGAGGAAAGAGAATCTTCTGTGAGGCTCAAATGCCAACCCACACTGCACATCATCAGTCAATGGCAGAGAAACCCTGCCCCAGACAAGGTTGAAGGCTAAGGGCAGACTGATACCTGACGTAGTTGTTCTTTGGTGGTCACAGGCTATGGCTCTGTTGTTGCCAAGCCGGTGACCAGATTACCACACATACACATGCACACACACACACCCCCCATATATATATATATATATATATATATATATATATATGCGCACACACCACAATACATAAATACATATATACACACACAGAGACACTCATACCACATACCGCACACACACAATGTGTATGCAAAAAATGCCAAGATTTTCTTCATTTGAAGGAAAAGTCTCCACCAAGGAACAGCTTCTGCCAGGCTGTTCACACCGGGGACTTGGGTCTTCCCTTCCCCTTTTCTCACTTAGTGTTTCTGGAAATCAGATTCCTCTGGACAGACTCTTCCAGGAACACAACTTTCCTGAGTGTCTGTTTCCAAACATCAAGAGGAACGGGCCCTGTTCACACCTCTGCTCACAGGAGGGACTGTTAGCCTCCCAGACTGGAGCAAACTGTTGGTCCCTTGCCCATTCATGAAAGACTGCCTGTCCCCTGCCCCATGATGCTGTGTCTAGATCTCAGGGATCCCTTCCAACCCTCATCCTATGTGCTACCCCCGTTCTCTGGCATTAGCACCCTGGCTTCTGCCTGGGCTAGGAGCTTACCAGCCTGTTTGAGCAGAAGCAGCCCTCGCTTGGCCTCCTCCAGGGGCAGCACGAAGGATGTCTTGGCTGTGTGGAAGCAGAACCCGCACTTGTAATTGCACTGACGGGTGAAGTGGTAGTTGACGCTGACGGGAATTGTAGACTGAGGACCCTTTGGTTCTTCAAGGGTCTCCTCGGGCATGGTCCGGACCTGTGGTTGTGGTTGTCCCCTTCCAGAACCTAGCCACCTCAGTGCTAGTCTCAACCAGCAGAACAGGATGGCCAGGCCACTCCAGAGGGAGCCCAGCTGCTGCTGGAACAGGCTCAGCAGCCCCATAGCGAGAGCAGTGGGCAGGAGCATCCCCATGGTGATCTGCACTCACCTGCAGCTGCCTGAGGGCTTATAAACTGCGGGCCAGCCACACCCCCGTGCATTCTGTCAAGAGGCGGAGGGAAACGCCTCCCTCGAGTAAGTCTCAGCTGAGCAGAGTTTCTGTTTTCTGAAAATGAAAGTTGAACCGGAGCCAAGACAGAAGCTCAAGACGGAGGCCAATGGGCTGCCTTTCCCTGGCTCACAGCTGCCCCTGTAAACAGCATCAGTCCTGATGACCCCCATGACGCTGCAAAAATTCCAGCAGCCACCAGTTTCTAAACAAGGGTCTTACAGATACGTAGCTGCCTCCTGACAGGCTATTATGCATTAAGCCTCTTGTAATGAATATCTGTTCATACTTAACAATTTCTAAATACTCTTCTTTGGTTCTTCACCCACCCCACTCATGCCTAACAAACAAACAAATAAACAAAACAAAACCACCAAAAACCTAGAGTTTTAGAACTTCGCACAAGGCAGATCGTATAGGCTGACCTTGGCAGCTCTCTCAAAGAGGAAGGAAAAGGAATTCAAGACTGGTAGATGTCAGGAAAAACAAACAAGTAATTAAACAGATAAATAAATATAGCAAAGAAACTCTGCACAGTAAAGTGAATCATTTTAAAATTGGATTTCTTAGTAATTATTTTTTTCTCTTTTTATATTGTGAGAGGACACACGTTGTAGATTTTTCTCAGACTCTTTCTTTCAAAGCCTTGCCATCATGGTACAGTTCTGCAGTCCTGTGCACTGTGTGGCTGGTGCCTTTCCTCCAGGTGAGCTCCTGTGTTTTGGTAATAGGGTCGTTTGGGACAGCACATAAAACTTGCTTTGCTCGTCTCTGGACTTCTCTTCTGATGGCTCTGTCTCTGCTCTGACATCTTTCCCAAGGAGCTCCAGGCTTCTGGAGTTGTCTTCTTTGTGTTGTTTCTAGTCTAGTGTTTGGGGGAAGTAGAGAGAGTCTTGGGCATACAGTTCCTTCTGCCTCTGAGAAGGAAAGGACAAGGGAAGAAGTCAGTTTACCAGAGAGATGATTGAAAGCCCACGTTCCCTGTAGTGTTACAGAGCCAGGATGTGGATTCATCCAAGAACCCATCCACAGACTGATGGGTAAGGAAGTATAACATAGGGGCTGGGAAGGTAACTCTGCTGGCAAAGGGCTTGACTTGTATTGCATTAACATTTCCTTAGGCAACGAAAACAACAAGAGTGTTTTCATCTCAGAGAGGGTAGCAGCGAAGGACGAAGTTCAGTTCCAGCCAAGCAATTCGGTGAGCCAATGAGTTTATTATATTTATAGAGCAGGGGGGATGGGCTACTTCTGAAGAAACATCGTGGCGGAGTCCCGCCCCAGCATGGATGAGGACCTCACGGAAACTGCACCATGCAGGTCCCCTTTCAGCTAATCTTAAACATATCCTAGGATTTCCCAAGATCGCTTGAGTTAGTGAGAGCAGAAAGGAAGGGGTCACAGGGAAATACCAGGCGAGGGTCTTGTGGCACTCCCCTCTTCTGTATACCATGGCACTATGTCAATAGCTCTTCCCTGTTACCACAGACTTGGATACCACTGCACTCTTTCCCTGATTAGTGAACAAGAAAACCTTTGGTTCAAAGTGGCGGTAAGATGAATGGGTTTTACCCTCAGCGGGAAAGACCATGCTTCAACATCTTGGAAGTGGCGGGCCTGAGTTTGATTCCCAGAACCTGTATAAATAATGCTGTGTGTGGCATCACCTGCCTGGAATCCCAGCACTGGGGATGGGGAGACAGCCAGATTCCTGCAACTTGCTAACAGATTCAGCTAGGCCCATTTTACCACAAACTGCAGCGGATCTGTCTGCCTTTGCCTTCCTCATTTCTACGACTACAAGTACAAGTTTCCATGTCAGGCTCTTTTACATAGATGCTAGAGATCTGAACTCAGGCCTTCATGCTTACAAGACAAATCCTTACCACCTGAGCCACAGCTCCGTCCACATTGTCATTTTTTTTTTTTTTTAGGAAACTTAACAGACTCCTGAGTTGGACTGTTCTAGCTCCCTCATTTTATCAGAATGGTGTTTGCACATGATCTGTGAGAAGTGAAAAAGTCTGATGGCTGAATCTTGGGTGTGGGGTCTGTGGTCAGGGTCTGGGTGATGTAGTTAAGGTACTGTGCTCAGGGACTGTGAGATGCAGCTGAGGTGCTCGGCTCAGGGACTGGGAGATGCAGCTGAGGTGCTGTGCTCAGGGACTGTGAGATGCAGCTGAGGTTCTGGGCCCAGGCTCTGTGTGATGCAGCTGAGGTGCTGTGCCCAGGTTCTGTATGATGCAGCTGAGATATTGCACTATGGACTTTTACTCCCTTCTCAGCAAACATCTCCTGAGATCTTTGTGAAGAGGAAAAATACTCATTTTCCAGAAGGAACAGAACACTGCCTGCCGGAAGCCGTTGTTGTGAATGGAAACAGAAACCTCTATTTATTTTCTGAACTGGGAAACCGAAAGTAAACTCTGCAGCACAAGTCTGTAGCTTAATGAAGCCAATTATGCCAGTGTTAGCTGACTCAAGTCCTTGAAATCTGAGTAATGGAAAATGCTGTAATCTCTGGCAGACTTGAGACATACCCTCTGTGAGGTCACACACACACATGACGTCAGCGTCAGGTGAAACAGCTGGTGAAAAGTGCTTCGGTGGATCAATCCCGGCTGAGTTGGAACCACGTACTTTGGGGTAGATTTTGTTAACTGCCTGGGATTTAATTGGCTTGTACCATTCTTTCAGGTAGTAATCAGAGCATGCTATCCTCAAACCATCTTCTTTTTTAAAGAATATATTTATTGAGATTGCCTGGCAAAGTTGTCATATAAAAATATCATCAAGTATGAATGAAATATAAATGTAATAGTAAGCTCCATTGTCAACTGACTAGATTTAGTGCTATGATGGGAACATCTGTTGGTTGTGTCGAGGCAAGTGGTCCCCTCTTGGATCCATACCCAGCCATTTGTCTGCCTGAGCTTCTGATACATCTGGGAAACACGGATAGTCGTGCGTTGCTCACACATGACATCATAATATCGAGGGGCTTGGTGCAGGTTCAGCACTAATGCAGTGCTTGATGGGACAGAGTGAAGAAGGCCCCCTCCCCTTATGAACCTGGCGCTGGGCTGCAGTTTGTGCATTGATTCATGCTACAGTTTAGGACACCTACCTCACTCAGGGAGCAAGATCTCAGTGGGTGTTTAATGCCGGCCACACTGCTTCACAACTGACTACCATAATAGCATTGCCTCATCTTTGCTGGTGAGACTTCTCTGCACAGGCCAGTTTCTTCATTCATTCATTCATCCATCCATCCATTCATTCACTCATGTATTCAGGCATGCTTTTTCTCATCTTCCTTTTCTTTGATGCATATTGATTGAAATTTCTCTGTGAAGTTGTCATATAAAATATCAATAGTTGGGAGTAAAACGTAAATCTGATAGCCGTCTTCACTCTCAACTTGACTAGGATTGAGTGATTGATTGCTTGAATAATTGATTTTGATGGAAACATTTGGATTTTCAGATGTTTCCAGGGAGTTTATCCAAGAAGGTAAGGCTTCTCTTAGTGTGAGTGTCACCATTCCCTAGGTTGCAGGCCGAGACTGAGTAACAGTGGAAAGAGAAATCGAGCCCCAGCATGCATCCCTTTCTACTTCCTTACTGCAGACGCAATGTGACCAGTCCCATCATGCCCCTGCCTCGATGCCTTCCCTACCATCTCCTTTCATGTCCCGAGACAATAGGAATTCTTTTCCCCTTCAGTTGGTTCAAGTCCGGAACTTGACCATGACAAGGGAGCAGTAGCTAATACAAGTGAGGAAGAGACATGCCCTGGTGTCAGGAGCTCACTAGTCAGTCCTATGTTGTTTCTGAGGGCAGGCCTGGCCTCTCCTAACTCCTGTTTCAGCAGAGAGTAGAGATCAGGAAAGTGTGGACTCCATTTCTGTATAATCGAGGGAGCTTGTGTGGTTGTGGAGGTCAGAGGACAGCCTTGGCGGTCAAGCCTTGCCTTCTACCTTGTTTGAGACAGGGTCTCCTATTGTTGGATTGTATGTGCACAGGTTTCTGGGGGATTCTCCAGTCTTGGCTTCTGCATACTTTAGAAACACTGAAATGTCACACACACACACACACCCCTCACCACCACCACCACCCTACTTGGCTTTGCCTAGGTTCCAAACTCATGTCTTAATGCTTTTTTGGCAAGTGCTCTTTATCCCCAAAGCCCTCTTCATAATCCCAGACTTCCAATGGAACTTATATAAACATTTGCCTTATGCTACAAGACAACCATGTGTATTGACCAATGACCTCCATAGATACCAAAAACTTGTCAACTTGACTTTTGGGCTAATTTACAGTCCTGGTGTTCACAATGGCTTGAAGGCCCGGCCCGACGAGGGCGGCTGATTATAGATCACCTCAAGACTCTCCCCACACTCCCGTCACCATTTTCCTCCTCTGTGTTCTAGCAAAGCTGTTGCATGGCTGTTGTGCCTTCGGAGCAGAAAGACCACAGCCTTCAGGGACTGAGATCCACTCCTTCAGGGACTGAGATCTACTCACAAATGCCAAGGTGGGTAAGAAGCTCTTCTGCAGACTGCTGAAGGTCGGTGTGGGTCATGGCTGACCTCATGAGGCCCTGTTTGCTCTTTTCCCCTTGGCAGTCTCATGCTGAAACCAATTCAAATGCATTGCTCCTGAGCCAGGGATCTGACTCCTGAGTACCTGTGCATTCCTAACATGCTCCATGCACTGTGGTGGGGACAAAGGGCTGTGTTGCTTTGCTGGGCTGTGCAGTCTGCTTACCAAATTGCAAACGTCATAGTCTCTAGAAACTCTGTCATTGAATTGTCACACGGAGAGTTCAGCAGTGATCACAGCATAGCATCTTTCATGCTTGGTCTTGGTGTCAGTTGGGCCTGACTTGGAGTCACCTGGGAAACACTCCCCTCTTCTTGATATTTGGTACTTATATACCTGCTTAGAGCTTCTGAACCCTTTTATTGCACTTGACTTGGGATTTGGACTCTAGAGTCGTCACTGTATGCATCTGCTTTGTTGACGTTCTCTTTCAGACCTCCTTATTTAACACTGTGATGACCAAATTTACTAGTGTATATTATGTGACAAGTTCTCTCTGTGAGGAATCCTTTACAGTCTGTGCTCTGTGAAGTCATGTGTCCTCACAGCTCTCATTTCTGTTGTTCTTTATTTCCTACACTTGAATTGACTAGCTAAAGCATAGCAAACCTAAGCCATTTTTCCATTTTATATTAGTTATTACATTTAAATGTCTTGAACTTACCCTTCCTGTTTTCTTTTTCTTTTATATGTGATGCATGGAATAATTTCATCTTGTTTGTTCTTTAGTCTGGCACCAGGAAGTGCTGAGTATGGGCCTGTGTTGTGAATGGAAACAGAAAGGACTGCTTTTCCAGCCTTGGGAAACTGAAAACAAATTCTCTAAGTGCTAGAGGTGAAAGGCTTTCCTTAGAATACCTGCCTGCCAAATGGATGGAGCTAGAAAGCATCATTTTGAGGGAGGTAACCCAGACACAGAAAGACAATTATCATATTATTCATTCATAAGTGGTTTTTAAACAAAAAGCAAAGAAAACCAGTCTACAAATCACAACCCCAGAGAACTTAGACAACAATGAGGACTCTAAGAGAGGCATACATTGATCTAATCTACATGGGAAGTAGAAAAAGAAAAGATCTCCTGAGTAAATTGGGAGTATGAGGACCTTCGGAGAGGGTTGAAGGGGAGAGGAGAGGTGGGGAGGGGAGCAGAGAAAAACGTGGCGCTCAATAAAAATCAAAAAATGAGAAAAAGAATACATGCCTACTACTCATAAATTTATTAATTCATCCACTCATCCCTTTGAAGGGACTTCTGAAAGTATTTTCTCAGCTTCTAGTTTCTCATCTCTGTGCCCCCAAGGGCAAATTGCTACAGGCACAATTATTCAGTCCGAACCAGATGGTGCCATCAGGCACTTTCTCCTAAGAACATTAACTTGGCACTCAAATATTTGACTTGCCGATGCTTGCTGTCCATTCATTAACTGTGCCCCAAAGCCAAGAGCAGCAGTTTCTGATCTAGTATTGGCGAGCAGTCTCTCTGTGGCTCTAGATGCTGTGTGTATGTGCAGGCCTTCCCAGCTCCTTCCAATGACTTTACACCAAGGTCAAAGCTCAAAGCTGATCTCCACCTCATTCTATTTAGAGGATGCCAGCACATTGTTATGGGTCCGGGCTTCAGTAAGTCAGAACTATTTTTTGTTGTTGTTGTTTTGCTTTCTATCAAGCTGGCTGAGGGTCAACATTCTATAAATCTCCCAATTTTGTGCAAAAAAAACTTTTATGCAAAAGAATTCAAGTTGTTTTGTCTTCATTCTTTTGTTTTATGCAACTTTCCTGGAATCTGATGGCCTGGAGTGGCTGGCCCCTTCCTCTTTTTCTTTATTCTCTTTGCCCTGTTTTTTTAAAATTTTATTATTATTATTTTTTAAGTTAGCCAATCTGGAAATGTGGGACACAGCCAATGGGAAAAAACGCCACAGTTACCACCTCCATTCAGACAACCCCGAGTAACTTCTCACCTTGTTGTGCTTCCTAGCCAGGGTTAGGTCTTAAACACTTCTTTTTTTTCTTTTTCTTTTTCAAAAACAAATTGTCTTGCAGGCTCCTTTCATTTTGTTTGTGTGACACCAAAAATATTTATTTCCAGGAATTAGAACCCCGGACTCTGATACTCTATCTGGGGTCCTGGGCCGTGAATCCACACAGGTTCCTGCAGCTCACCGTTGGAGGTGATGTGATTCTCAAACAGCTCACTCCAGATTCATTGCACATCCCATGCACATCACATCTTCTTGCTCTACCAACTGTATCGATGGATCTGTCACCGCGGCATTTTTACCCCTCTTTGTGCTGTGATAAATCCTAAATTAAATTGGGACCGTGAGAGAGACACACACACATCTTTATTGTGAACCAGCAAGGCTAAGTGGTCTCGAGTCTCCTAAAACATAGCTAGGATACACACACACACACACACACACACACACACACACACACACACACACA